AAAGTGATTCATCAGGTGGAAAAGGAATAGATTGATGGATAAAGTGATATGTAGCGCCATCTAGTGTATCTAAATTCACCTTGAAATTTTCATAAAAGTGAAAAGAAAAACAAGGCTAACTTGGTAACCCGTGGCCCAATTTTAACGAAACTTGTTTTATTCTGTTTTTATTCTCATTTCATTACAAATATGGCACTATTGTGCACAGTTTTTGCTGTATTTAATTACAGACAAGCACACAAACAAACAATCTCAGAATTTTAGTAGTATATAGATAGATAATTTTCCTATACTGAAAATGTATTTCTGATAGGTACTTCCCTCCTCTCACAAGATTAGCTATTTGTGTTCATTGCTGCCCTCTATATACAAACTTTTTCTTTACACATGCCACAAACTTTCTGCTCCCCCCTATTGGAATCTAAGTGATTCTAACTTGTCTCTCATAAAATGTGTCACCTCTCTACCGGAAGTGTGTATGAAGGAAGGGTTGAAAGTGTGAGTAGAGGTAAGTACCTATCGGAAATACATTTACAGTATAGGAAAAATTATAACTTCCAACATGGTAATTCCCTCTTCTCACAAGATTAGCTAGAATCCCATATTGATTAGGAGGGTTCAGTGTGAGTGAAGAACAGACATATGCCCCAGACGTGTCAGAAGGATACCTCTGTAGATGAGAGAATCAGATCGGGAGAGCTGAAGAGGGAAACCACACCACTTCTGACCCAGGTATACCCTTTACCATGTGTTGAATGTGTAAGATATCAGGGCGAAAAATGAGAGGAGCACATCCAAGTGGGAGAGAGTGTGGTAGGAAAGTGATCCTAACCAGAGAAAGATATTGTAAATCAATCTCACAATAAGAAAAGTGTGTAAACAAGTATGCACCCCTGGGTATACAGTGGCTAGGGACCGCAGAAGTGTACTTGGCAAGTCAACTACATTTAAAACCTTCTCGTGGGGTAAATTGTAAATCAATCTCACAATAAGAAAAGTGTGTAAACAAGTATGCACCCCTGGGTGTACAGTGGCTAGAGACCGCAGAAGTGTACCTGATAAGTCAACTACATCCAAAACATCCTCGTGGGGTACCAACATCTGCATGAGGATCAAACCATCTTTATCTGAAACCCAAGAACTGGGGAAATGAGAACCACTCTGATTCCCAGATATGACACAAAGATTAGCTCTGAGCTATCGATCTGGGAACTTGACATTGGTGTCAAAACGATGTCTATCGCATGCAATCAACTCTTCCAACTGTAAAACAGGCTGAGACCCTCCAAATGACAATAACATCTGTGTAAGAAGAGAGAATGAGGAAGAGCCAAGGATATAACCGGAACAATCCTACGTACCACTGCTGTGACCAACAACACAGACAAAGGAAATTGAGGGAGGAAGTCAGACAACCCGAAACCTGTATGAGGACTTATGTTGATTGGTTCTACTCTAAATCCAAAACCTCCCTGCTGGGTAGCAACATCCACGCAAGTGTAGGATGAGGGTTCCCAATTGAAAGGGCTAGCTGCATTCAGACATCTCACTCCATTGTATTCATTATCACAAATTGGATATTATGTCATCCATACTCACACAACACCACCAACCTACTATGCACTGAATGGTTATAGTCATCTTTCAGGAGGGTGCCTCCATGGTCGACCACACCAGCAGATTGGAACTGTAAAGTGGTAAGAATTTCACAATCCACGAGAAGAGAAAGGAGGGAGGGACAATGGAGAATCCAGAGGAACAACAACACCCGAGATAGTGCTATGGGGTGACCACAAAACCCTATTTTGAAAAGCAGATTAGACTGATTTATTGAATACAAGGCATGGCGGGGATAGGCAGCTAACCCCTTCTGCTTTACCCATGTGGTCTATGGGTGAGTATGGTCCGGGATGGGCAAATTTTAAGAAGCAATTATATCATGAGGATCAACCTATAAGCGATCCTGTGGAACACTCCATCTCTGCAGTGTGTGTTGCATGGCTATATGTAAGTAGACATGGTTTTACAGTGTGGATTTGAGCAATTAAAGAATACCTGGTCAGCACCACTCACAACAGAGTGGGATCCAGAGTAATAAAAGATAACTTACCCAGTCAAAGACTCGCTGAAGTCTGAAGAATGGCTATAGGCAGAAGACAATAACCCAAATATGAAGATACCGTGATTTTATGCCAGAAGTGAGAGAAGAACTTATGAGGGGTAGTCCACATGCCTGATTGAAGAATTTCCTCCAAGGGATGACAAAGATGAAATGACAAGAAAAAAGGTAAAGTGTTGTATGTGACAAAAAGACACCTGGAACAAAGTAAGGGAGGAAGATGATGAAAAAGAATAAGCCAATCGATTTAAAGGCCAAACCCAATGGGTGAGGGTTGAAGGAGAAAGATCACAAACAGAGGATCTCTGCCAAGGAATAAAAAGGTAGGCATGGGCACCATTTAAAGAAGCCATGCAGGCAATATAACAATGAAGAGCATGTAAAGAAAATAGAAGTCTATCCAGATCAGAATAAGGATAAGAGGGAAAATGGAAGGAAGGGAACTTGGCAAAAAGGAGAAGTTACCCTATTGAGCTGCCGGCATTTTGGGGGGGAAAGAATAATCGGGATAAAGGAGAAGATATGTGGAAAATATTGATAAACTTCCATGGAGAAAGAGCAAATGGAAATAGCCAGAAAAGAAGCTACTCATCAGGACAAGCCAAATCTCCTTACCAAGGATCAGATAAAAACCAGGCATGAAGTTGGAGGACAGGAAGGGCTGGATGAAATACTGGGGACTGAGGTTGATGAAGAAGGGATAGAGTAAGAGGAAGAAGTAAGGAAGGAATAGTTTGAGCTGAAGTAGCCGTGGGAACCACAGGTTGAGCTGGCCAATAAGGAGCAATCAGAAGGACCTGACATGGAGTTGTATGAATGATTGAAATCACCCTGTGAAGAAGTCAAATGGGAGGATAGACACATAGGTATCTGTTGATCCAATCCTAACTGAAAGCATCCACAGCCAAATCAAGAGGATGAGGGACTGGTGACCAAAATAGAGACAGTTTGTTGTTGAGGGATGTGGCAAATGCATTGATGTGAGGAGTACCCCACCGAAGGCAGAGCCACTGGAAAATAAGAGACCACTCCATCAGATTGACTGTCTGGATGGGAAGGCCAATCTGCAACAAGATGGAAAGAACATGGAACATGACATGCAGTGATGCAAATATTGAGTGTGTGGGCCCAAAAAAGAATATCCAGAATATGAAAACAGAGGGATCAAGAACAGGTGCCACCCTGGTGATTGAGATAAGCAACCACTGTAGAATTGTCAGAATGGATGGTTACCAGACATTTTCTAGTCAAATGGAGAAAATTAACCAATGGACGATGTACAGCAAGAAGCTCCAGGATGTTAATATGAAAATACCTCTCTGCCGCACCCCAATGTCTCAAAGCCTCCCTTTGATCAACCCATGCCCCTAGCCCTGATACGATGCCTCCATGAAAATGTGTAATTCCAGAAAAGAAGAAGAAGTGGGGAAACACCTGCCAATGTGCAAGTCTTGTCCAACCACCAATGCAGATCACCAACAATGGTAGGAGGAAGGGAAATAGGAGTCTTCAAAAGATCCTGCACAAGATTCCTCTGGTAGTGAAGAGCCTACATATGTGCACAACCTAAGGGGATAAGGGCTGCAATGAAAGACCACATCCCCAAAAGCAATAGAACCTTGTGAGCTGTAACAGGAGGAGCAGTAAGTGGAGAACTGAAAGTTCCATAGAACAAAGTAGAAGGGAATGAAGAAGAATAACTTCTCCAATTTTATTAACCAGCCCACCGAAGCCACCTCCAGGAGCAGACGATGAGTGTGCTGGGTAGACTCCTGTTTGGTACAAACTAACAGTAGCCAGTCATTCATCTT